CGGGGGCGTTGTCGTTGACATCGGAGACCTGCACGGTTATGCTGTGCTCGGTTTTGAGCCTCGGTGTGCCCAAGTCGGTGACGGTGATGGTGATGTTGTACTCGGCTGTCGTCTCTCTGTCCAGTGCTCCTTCTGTTACCAGCCTGTAGTAATTCTCAACGGAAGGTTTCAGCGCAAACGGAATATCATCCTGAATGGAACAAACCATTCTTCCATTTTCCCCAGAATCTCGGTCTCTAATCCTAAACAGGGCCACTTCTGTCTCGGGAGAGTTTTCGGTAATTGGGCTGGTAAGTGACGAAATAGTTAGTTCTGGAGAGTTATCATTAACATCCAGCACCTTAATAGAAACACTGCATTTCCCAGAAAGTCCCCCGCCATCAGACGCCTCTATATCTAGCTCAAATGCAGATATTGTCTCAAAATCTAGTTTTTCAATTAATCGAATTTCTCCTGAAAGGCTGCTTAGCTCAAAAGTTTTACTTATCTCCAGAGAACTGTAAAAAAGTGAGTATGATATCTCTCCATTTGTCCCGGTGTCTAAATCCATAGCGGAGACCTTGACAATTAGGGAGCCTACGGGGCTGCTCTCTGGGACCTGCGCCTCATAGAGCATCTGCGCAAACTCGGGGGCGTTGTCATTGACGTCCAAGACCAAGATGCGAATCTGGACCGTGCCAGATCGGTGTGGTGAGCCGCCATCCAGCGCTGTCAGGGTTAATCTGAGCTCCGCCTGCTCCTCGCGATCCAGCTCTTTGTCCAGTACCAGCTCTGGGTATTTCCTGCCGTCTTCCCGGTTATGGGTGGAAACGTGGAAATGAGAGTTGGGACCAATATTGTAGTTTTGAACGTTGTTGTTGCCCACGTCCAAGTCCTGGGCTTTTTTCAGAGGAAACACGCTTCCAGGAGGGCTGTTCTCTGGGATTTTAAGAGTCATTTCTCTTTCAGAAAACTCGGGAGAATGATCGTTTATATCTCTAACCAATAGCTCCGCTCGAAATACTTCCATTGGGTTTTTCAGTAACACTTGGAAATGCATTACACAGGGATCGGTGGGGCCGCAGAGGTCCTCCCGGTCCAATTTCTCATTTAATATCAGCTCTCCGGTCTGCAGGTCAAGCTGCAAGAGTGGCTTGTTATCCTCAGAGACCACTCGGGCTCCCCGCGCAGCTAGGTCCCTTACTCCCAGCCCTAGGTCCTTGGCCAGGTTGGCCACAAAAGAGCCGCTCTCTGTTTCCTCCATCACGTAATAGCGGTGGGGTTCCCAGCCTGCCTGAGCCCCCATTAAGAGAAGGAGAATCAAGACTTGCCTTTGTTTAGGAAAGCGCCCCTCTCCGGCCTCCATCTTTACTTCTGCACGCCTTCCCAGGAATAGAGGCCAGAAGTACCTCAGGGAACGATGGGACTGAGACAGTGATCAATCTGTCGGTTGGTAGCCTGTCCAGAAATGTAGGTGAGTAGCATTCTCCGGAGACTTACTGATCCGAGCTCTGTCTGCAGGCTTTTCACTTCAGCTGAAAGAGGTCTGAAGAAGAGTTCGTAGCATTTCATGGGTTCTTTTTAGAAGCCTTAGCCTGCAGCGCCACCATGCGTTTTTACTTCGAAACGAATTGCTACATCTGCTATTTTCTCTTTTTGTTCTGCTACTGTGAGTTTGGAGATTGTTTTAGGGAGATAATGTAATCACAAAACCATGAAATTATAATTATTCATTCCTTCACTAAAGAAGTATTATTGATCTCTATGTGCCAGGTTCTGCAATACATTAATAAACAACCCAGA